GAATGCATGGGAGATTTCCTGTCCACTATAGGTGGACAGATGTTGTTTGATCCGATAGTAACATCATCCGTGCATTAAGCTGAGATCAACAGTCAACATGAAACAGTCAACATCAATCTGGACAATCAAGAAAAAAGCTAGTTCTTGTTCAGCCTTGAACTGCTTGAAACCCTCTCTTCCAAAATCCAGGGAGCAATAGTATACACAAAGTTCTTCTAGAGCTTAGAATGTAGAAAACACTTTGGTACATAACTTGCTATGAGCCATTTCATTCAACACTGTCTTTGGAGAAACATATTTATGTTCCAGAGTTTTGGGGATAGAAGGAGGAATCTAAGATTGTGCTTATAGCTATTCCTGTGGACAAATAAGCAAAAGACCCTTTATCTTTGCATTTAAAAAATCTTAATCTGCTCTTAAACATCAGGCAGATTCAATTTGTGTGATATACATGCAAAAAAAAAATTGCAGGCACTGGTTTAGGGTCTCACATAAACTCTGAACTTGGTTCTTTTAAATCTACAGTAACGTATTTTGTTAACATAAACATTTTAAACAAGTAAAAATGGGAGAGTTCTAAAGCAAAGTAAGAGGTTCAGGCATGAAACCTCTCTCCCAAATTGTACATGTGAATCTGCCTGTGCCCAGCCCTGTTTAGAGCATCTGGCTGGGAGCTCCAATAAGTGGGCTCTGCATAAAGTGCTTGCTTGACTGCTGTGTCCTCACAGTGCCTGTCACTGAACTCTACAATGCAAAAAAAACCCCACCTGCTGTACAGCTAAATCTGCCAACCAGCTTTCAAAGCCTAGAAATATGCAACAACATCAGGAAGGTGGCAGTCAGGCTCAAGTTTGAGACAGATATGTATTGGATAACTAACTGGAAAGCCACTAAAATAGCACTCTGATTCCTGTAGAAGGAGAATTTTTAATAAAAACTGACTCCCACCTACCAAAGACTTTGTATTACAAACCCCAGCTCTCAGAAAAGCCTTGCAACAGTGAGATCAGGCACTTGGCAGCCGTAGGCAGTTGTGCGCGAGAAACTGAACAAAGAAACCCAAACCCAATCTTAATAGTTACACAGAATGTTCTCTGTCTTTATGTTACAGACTCTCAAACAAAGCTGGCAGAGGACATTTCAGAGGGATCAGAAATGCATTAATTTATGTACGAAACAATCTGTGTCATGTTCCTTCCTCATAAAACAGCCTCTAAGTCACCCACAATGAACTGAATGTAACAGAAACTACATCACTTCTGCGGTGAGGAGTCAATGTGGAAAGTTAAATGCATAAATAGCAAAACATTCAAGTATCTAAAGTGCAGATACCAGGAGGGTGGCTGACGTAATACTATGGGATTCTGTGCTTAATCTTTTGTTGTTCTCTTTCCATGTAAGATTTCCTAATCCCCTTCTGGCTTTGCTCTGCCCATATGTAATAAAGGTTCTGTCATATATCCCTCTTTATGATAAAGTCTCACAGCCAAGCAGCACTTTGCAGTTAAAGCCTCCCAATGCCTACTTATAAAGTGCAGATGGAGTTCAAAGTAAACTGAAAGTTTTACCTGAATAYGTTAATTTACATTATGGGGCACACATTCCCTCAAATGGATGTGTGTTCCCAAATTTTGATGTCTAGTGAAGTAAACAGCAGTGCTGCTTCATTACAGCTCATCTCTGAGCAGTGCTGTACTGGATTGTTTCACCACCTGTTCTTAAATGCTGTAATATATCCACAGAGAGAAACAGGTTTTAAAAAAATAGTGTTAGTGAAATTTTTGAATGCAGATTAAGCAAGGTGGTAGTGACTGTGAGAAACACTGATGGTATTGGGACAATTTTCTGTTGCTGAGTTTCACATGGAAGTGTTTGCTGAAAAAGACATTCAGCTGCCTGAAACTAGGTGTTAGAAGCAAATCCACTATGGCCAAAAGAATCAACTATGTTTCAAATCATACAGTTCAGCTTTAGGCCAAGGCAAGACAGCACAGAACAGGATTAAAAGTGAATTAAAACTAATTATAAACCAGTATTTTCCACCATATCCCTCCCAAAAGATTTCCCTACACCTGTCTGAAGTCCTCCTACTTGAATCTCTCTCTAAAGCAGCCAGATTTACACACGGATGAACAGCMGACTGAGCACAAGCTGCAAGTGACAGACACCAAACAAGTCAGGATGTTTACASGGAGTGAACAGAGTCAGCCATGAATCAATACAATACTGCTGCCACTCTCAGGGGCTGCACGGGCCAAGTCAGGCTACTCTGATGTCCACACATTCAAATACAATTAAGGGCACAGGTATGGTACAATACATGACAGAGGTAGACTGGCAAGTGCTAAGGCTGCACATTCCAACTCTGACTAAGGGGTATTTTCTAAACACTTGTGGGCAGCACATCATCCCTGTGCTAACAGAAAAAGTATTAAGATGAAGTSTGGAGATGACTAATACTGCTAGTCAGCAACACTGCCTTCGAAACATAGATGAGATTCCTCTTCACATCTTCAGTTCTGGAGAATGCATGTTTTGAGTTACATACAAAAAAATCTAGATTTCCAGAATAAGGTATGGGTTCGATCTGTACTGTGAGAGTAATTCTGAAGTTTTCCTCTTATTTTCAAGATGGAATTTTTCAGCTCACGGACTGCAGAGCTACTTGCTGTTCATCTGTGTCAAACTGATGGTCACATGGTGGCAGATTTCCTGCTTCTTCATAGATGTTAAGGAATAGAAGAGTTCATTGCTATCAAGTCTGTCCAAGRTATCCTGTAGAATTCATATCAAATGACACCTGCTACTTCTAGAATTCTCTTTAAAGTAGCTGCTGTCTGAATCCTACTCAAAMAATAGGATCACACATGACCTTCTAAGATGGAGTGCAAGAAAAATTTGGGATACTGCTCTAAGGTCTGTAGAAAAAAATCAACATTGTCATACAAGTGATATAAATAAAAAGCAATTAACAGRCATTTAACACATTACAGAAGTAAGAATGTATATCTTTCCAGGCACTAGACAAGGCAGTCTGAATTACAGTGACATGCAGTTAAAACTGCCATGTCATTTTCAGTATCACTCACAAGATCAGTAAGGCAGTCAAACCAAAGCACCCATCATTTTAGATTATTTATGCTAAGAAGGATACATAGAGAAATTACATTCTTCAGGGTCTAATACAACCTGTTGAAAGAAAGGCTGCTGGCAGAGTGGTAGAGGTGTGCATGTTTTTGGTCATTTGGAATGTAGGAAGAAGCCAATTTGCATAATTTTTTWAAAGATAAAATATCAGTAACAAATAATACAAGAATGAAAAACTAAAAACAATATAAAATTAAAGTAAGAACTTCTCCAATCTTTTAAAAAAAAATTCTGTCAAAACAAATCAACAAGATCTGAAACCACATCCCCCCATCACACRCTTCCTAGTTGCAAATGTGCAGAAGAACTAACAAAATTCTTTAAAATATAGCATTGTAGAGATGCCTGATGAACAAGTGGCTTTTCAGGACACTCTGGTTCTTGCAGCTACTAAACTAGAAAGAGCCCCCAGCTCCATCAGTAACAAAACTAAGGCCACTAAAACAAAGGTTTTGTTCATTTTCATAAAAAAAATTACCATACGCAGCAGATGTCACAAGTGACTGTTGATACTCTGCTGCACTGCTTCTCTTATGGGACTCCTCCCCTAACTCACATGTAAACACACAGAACAAGAAAATGGGATACAGGGTGCAGAAAAATGTTTCAGAAAGCCTGGCGGTGAACAGGTAGGCACTTATTTTCAAGCTACATTTTTGAAACAGTTCTCAAATCTCTTTACAAAAAATATGTCTTCTAGATAATTRAAGACATTTAATCCACAGCAGCTTTTTCTTACCTCTGTGCTGTATATCTGTGCTTGTTTTTCTACTATCTTTCAGTCTGAAGAGCACTTAAATTGCCTAACACAGATGCTGACCTTGACTATGGAACTGGAGCCTACAGATACCAAAGCTGTTCTAAAATTACCCTTCAGGTGTCTTTACAGGGGTGTACAGGCTGAAATGCATTGCTATCAGCACACACTTAAACCTCACTGAACTCACTCAAGGTTAAGTATCTTTTTCCAGCMCAGAGTTTAGGCCTATTTGGTCTCAAGAGTCCAGGGCTGTCACATAACAAAAGCCACAGTTTTATCTGGAGGGACACATCAGTAGGAGAGTTACTGACTGATGTGGAAGATACAGAGAAACTGCAATCAGAGAAAGAGACATTAAAAGGAGGAGACCCTTTCAGCCAGCACTGATTGTTCAATAGTCAGGACTTTGAGACCTGGGAGACAGCTTTACAGCTACATTACCATGCTTTGCTGCTGTGAGCATGTTGTAAATCAATACAGAATGGGATTTTGGATCAGTCTGAACATTTCCCTTTTTTTACTTCACAGCAAGAAGGATAAATTCCTCAGACAATCAAAAGCAGACAAAAGTTGCATAGCATGGCAGCAAGTAGGCACAGAGACATACTCTGTTAGTTGCCCCAAAATCAAGAGAGTCAAAACCACAGCCTTCATATGAGGTATATTTTGAAAAACTGTTAGTTTAATGTTTTCTTTACGTTTACTTATTGACTTTCATAAGCTGTGTAGATAAAAATTGCAGAAAACAGAGTGTTTGTCATTCCATTAATCCCCAAACTTTGGTTTTCAAAGGTGGTCAACTTTCTCACAGACTAACCATGTGACAGATTAAGAGCAACCAAAGTGCTACCACTTATATTTGGGGATATCCTCAACCTGAGTCTTGTTCTTCACTTCTTCTTCAATGTTTCTGAATAAGAAGATCCTTCAGAAAGTCAGATCAATATTTAAGACTTATAAAATAAGAGAAAGATGAATTCAAAGCTGAACTAGAGCACATCTAAGGTGTTTSTCAGTCTGTAGTATGAATGGGAAATGGGAAGTTAATGGCAGAGATAGAAAAGGAAAGTATGTAAATAACAATTACAAAAAAAAAAAAAATAAAGAAGTGTATTTCTTTTGTTACTACAGTCACTCTACAATTCTGTGATGAATCACTGGTCAAACAAATTAAGAATTCCATTTCCAGACATAAACAAGAACACCTATAAGGCTTYACCATTTCAGTGTCTTCTGCTGGTCACACCCTGGAACATTCTCCATGGTGAAYCTCTCAGGTGGACTAAAGAGGAAATGGAAGCTTGGTACGAAATGAACTAAATGGCACGGGTATCCCAACCATTTTGCCTAAAATATGAATTGCAAAGGAGGCTGTGGAAAAGCAAGATAAAATAAAGCCTTAAATCAACCATTACATACTTCATTAATTGTATAAAAGTGCAAAGGTAAAGTAGTTTGGGTTAAGCATTCAGTTCACTATAGGCCACACAAACGCTTAGCTTGGCCATCAATAATGGCCTGGTTTTGTCATTCAGTTACTAATATTAGTTTAGACCACAGAAAGAACAAAAACTGAATGAAAAAACGTATGCAATCCACTTCAAAAATGGTTAGTTTTCTGTGACCAGCACGAAATATTACCTCAGTATCATCAGCTATACAATATATACATAAAAACCTTGTGTCTTAATCTTTAACAACTTTGAATAAAGCTGTACTAAATGCTCTTTCCCTAGTGTGCCAGCTCTTTGCTCTGTTCTGGCCGACTGGCCTCRTAGCACAGAGAAGTCCTTTAATTGCAATGGTACTTGGATTGATCCATAATTTCAACACTTCAGCCAGAGTAACTGTTGAAATGCTTTATTCAGCCAGGCCAGGTGATCGCGTGYGGCTGCCCAGGGCTCAGTCAAAGATTCTTGGGTGGCTCCACAAGAAGAACAGGCCATATTCCAAARACAAACTGTCAAAAGAGAAACAGGAATAGGGGAAAGATTCCTTGGAATATTATATTTCTTGGAACAGAAAATAAACACTATTAAATATAATCTAATGACAGGAYGAAAGGGGAATGGCTTTAAAATGGAAGACAGKAARTTTAGATTGGATATTAAGAAGAAATTCTTTACTTTGAGGGTTGTGAGACACTGGAACAAGTTGCCSAGAGAWGTTGTGGATGCTCTATCTCTAGYAGTGTTSAGAATCAGGTTGGAGTAACCTGAGGGCTCTGAGTAACCTGGTCTAGTGGAAGGAGTCCCCATGGCAGGGAAGCTGAAACTAGATAATCATTAAAGTCCCTTTCAACCCAAATCATTCTGTTATTCTATGAAAATTTTGACTGCGTTTCTTGGGATGTAAGCAGAAGTSAAAGGCAGTACCCCTAACAGTCATAATTACTGAGCCCCAACACAAGTTCAGAGCACAAGGTATCAACGTGTACATTGATAAGCACATAATAAATATTGCTTGCTTACCTTCACCTTTGGCCTGTGTTTCAGGAAAAGTGTCCTTGTATATAAACTGAGAAGGAAAAAARCATACTTAAAATTTCATGTGTAAGACAGCATATAAATTAATGATGCCCTGATCCCAGTTTTATTTATCAACTAGGAAAAAATTGTTTCTGTGATTGCAGAACTACCCATTCTACCTAAATTTATTCAAAACAGGCRATGTTAATTTCCAATAAATCCCTCTATACTACACTACTCAGCAAACTAATTTACTCTATCACCTGTGTGAGGAGACAGAAAGAAACCCAGAGAAAAAGAAAATAAACAGGGACTAGAGCCTGTCATTTAGAAGGATGAAATTAAATCAGTGTACCACAAAATACTGCATGTGTTAAAGGGAGGAAAAAGCAACATAGCTTGATTCTGTAACTCATTTTTGTTCTTAGACACTTTCTCCTCTCAGTACATCTTTTCCTGTAAATGATCTCATGTTTTTTTTTAAGTAGTGATGACACTTTGTGGCATGTTGGGAAAACTTTGTCCATGCTCAATTCCTGTAAGCTTGTGATAACATTTCTTTAAAATGTTATCATAAGCTCCTTAGGGTAGCAGACAACCTGTAAGCCAAAAGGAGAAACTGTTTTCCATATACCTTGACATATTTTATATAWACATGCATATAAAAATGTACTTATGTATAGATCCAGCTATGTATACGTATGTATAGGTACATATGTGTGCATATATATACACAAATATAAATATAAAAACAAGCTATAGGATCATCTATTGGAAATGTACTTATTTTCCTTGCATTTTCCTGTTATTAGGTATGTTAGCATATGACAAAAAAGGTGAATACCATGTTAGATGTAGAAAATTTGATATCTAGTCAAGTTTCCTAGACCACACAGAATGTATGTGTAAAACAGATAGTCTCTTAGTTAAGTGGTAAAATATTATTTCATYATATGATGATCGAACTGCAGAAATTCTTCACAGATGTGAGCTTACGTTCTGYCTTGCCCCTGGTTCCACTAGATGGTGGTACCGAGCAAATACGGGACAAAAATCTGTTGGCTGCAGACTTGCTAACTCATGTTCTTATTTAGGTCTCCTCCTCAAACTAATATTCATTCCTTCTACTTTATCCACTACGATTACTTCAGCCATCACCTTTCTGCACTGCAGCAGGATGCCGGCTAGTTTTCAAGAGCGACAGTGCCTATCAAAGCATTAGTTAAGCGCCTAAATTTAAACATGTTTAAGTACTTCAGGATTGCTGCTCAAGAACAGACAGGTATTAATGGCTTACATTCTGAAATTATTATAATGTCAAATAATTTTGGTTTAAGTGCCACAGGGTTCTGTATTCAGGTTCTGTGTGTTATATTTTCTTGAAGAACTGTGACTATTTAAAGATTAGTCATTACATTTTGAGGAATATCAGTTAGTTTTAGAGAGGTTTTCAGTTGAGCTGCAAAGAGGGAAAAAACCTCACATCAGTCATTCCCCTGGATGGTACAATATTCTGAAGTACATCTGAACCTGAAAAACTCATAAGATCTCTGTGAACAACCCGTTCAGAAATCATTTCCTACCTTAGCAGGATATGAAGGTAAGAACCCAGGCCTGTGAGTATATGCCACCATGCATGAAACTGTGTCACAGCTCCCACCACAGGAGGCATCTTCTCTCTCAGTGCTCTGAAAGAAAGAAATACCATACAAAGGGCTAATTTCTCCCAGCTAAGCAATCTCAAATCACAATATTGGATTATCAGGTCTCACATTATTGTTTCTKTATCTAAAGCATATGCTTGACAGGTGAGGCTTCATGGAGTCAGGGTTTCAGCAGGTGAGGAGCAGCAGTTATACTTTATATTGCCAGTCAGGGAGATATCAGCAAGCTGACTTTCTTATACATTTAAAGAAAACACGCATTTCTTCATATAATAAATGATCAACTACTTCTGGACTCAAATTTGAGGGAAAATATTTATGGCATCCCACAGTTCCAAACGAATTCTACTATTCTTCTCCCCAAAACCCTGTGAACTACTGTACACAGGATAAAGCACTGAGTTTAAGATCCGAGAGATGAAATGAGATTTATCACACATCACTACTTTAAATTTGGCAATCACACACCTATTCTGCAGTTCCATGGAAGCTTAATTTGCTTTTCTCTGTTGGATTCTAAAACAGGGATAAAATGAATGTTTAGTGAGGAAGCAATTAAAGTAGAAGGTCTGAAATACTTGACCAACATGCTTTGTATAGTGTATAAAATGGGGTGTGAGCTACTTGGGAAAGGGCTAATGGGTGGAGATAAAGAAATGGTGGAGCAAATGTTTGCATCTGCTTGTCTTTTTGCTTTTTTTTTTTTTTTTTTTCACTTTCATTTCACATTCAGTCAAAACAAAAGATGGAAAACAATGATTGCATGTGTTAAAAAGAAAAATCTGAAGCTCCTGGAACGTGTTCTTATTGCTTAACATTACAGTGTTTGGTCCAACACTGCTCAGTCACAAATATTAGCACAGAGCTTCATTTGAGTCAGCCCAGCAATGACACAGTGGAACACAGACTGTCAGCCCAGCACAACCTCTGAGCCTTTGGATGGCAGGAAATTTCAAAGTTCAAATTCAAAAGCGTGTGGTTCCAACCAGAGAAACTGAGTGCTATAGATTTTTYGTTATTTTGATTTTTCTTTTTTAAAAAAATATGCTGCAAATTTTAAGAAAATACAGACACCATCGCCCCCAACAAATCAAAACTCAGTTTTGAACTTTAAAACCAAACAGACAAACAGAGCAGGTAGGTGGATGATTCACAAGCTAGACCTTCAGAGAATAAAAAATTTCAAGGAATTGAAATGTATTTTCTCCAAAGATTCAAATTATAACAGCGCCTGGAGAAATCCAAGGCTGTGCAGATGTCTGATTAAAGTTAGTAAACAAGCATGTTTATTTTTTTTTCCAGCATCATAACCAAACAAGTATTACAGGAAATACACTTAATATTTTTTCCCTTTATGAAACAAGGATGGAAAAAAGTGCCTCAGCAGTGGGTRTCATTTTTGGGCCTAGGAACCAGTTCAAAAGCCCCATGGACCCACAGCATGTCAGCAGGTTTGGTGAACTGGGAGTTATGATCTCACCAGTGATGGGAGGCAGCTGCAAAAATCAACTCTGATGCCAATATTTGCAACGAAACTGTAAACCCAGCCACTTGTGCTGCCAAATAACTACTCTATCCCATYTGTATCAAGTGCTTCTAGGGATGAGGATCATATATTATATTCATTTTAAAAAAAAGGTTTCAAGAATACTCTGTTGGAGTTAACTTTCAGCTGGCCTAACCTAGTGCAGGGACTACAGAGCCACAAGGGATGGCAAACTTTAGACTTATTTTCAGCACACTGTTTTTTTGGCTCTGACAAAGCAACCTATTAGAACAACTTTGAACAACACAGATTCAGTGGCATAACAGCATTTCAAATTGTCAAAAATGTATTTTTCTGGATGCTGGAATTAATCTTTCCACCTCCTCCAGTTTGTTGAGCAACACATGTATTTCATCYACATGTTTTTTATTGCTAACATTAATATTGTAATAGGTACTTCTTTAACCTGCAGAACTACTGCTTTGATATTTTCCTGGGAAATCGCAAGACCAGAAACCCAAAAAAACCCCAAACCAGCAGGATAAAAACACATTCAGGTGAAATCACGTGTGAATAGCAGGCTTTAGTCAGTCACAGATCCTCAAAATAACTTCAGTGACATTTTCTTAATTTAATTTGAAATTTAAGAGAAATATCAAGAAATAAAACTGTTAAGGGATAAAAGAATCCTTAAAAATCCTGTTGAGTGCTGAATCCACTCAAGAGCAACCTGGATAAAACCTCATGGGTGTTCTGTAGGCAGCAAACAATGAGATGGACTTGGATACCCATTGGAAATAATCCAATCTTTATACTAAAACATTATTAAGAGCTATCCAGACAAAGGTAAAAAGCTTACCTCAATTTATCACAGAAAATGTTGTCCACATTCCAGAGAAAAAATCCCATTAAAAATACAGTTAAAGATGTATAACCTAGACCTCTAAGCCATGGGTATACCCTAGAAGGAGAGAAATAATGCAAAGTTTAATTCAGAATACTGTAAGACACAGAAATACACTAACATATATTACACTAAATATGTGTAATATACAGAAATTCTGTTTTATATATATATAAAATGCTTTATCAGTTTGTTTTTTTTCTCCAAAAGAAAAAACACCAACTTCAAATTTCATCTGTTTAAATATTGTATTTTACTTTTCCTCTTTCTTGATTTCACATTCTCTGACTGTTTTACTTCTGTAATTCTGATTGTTTTCCTAAATACTGCACTCTCTGAACAAAACCAAAAAGTAGGAAAACCAAAGTTGGCTAAAACGTACTAATCCTCCAGCTCCATAATCTTTCATTAAAAAAAAAAAAAAAAAAGCTATGTTACCAAGTAGGACACTCACAAAAGAAGGTCTTTGACAGGAGATGATATCCCTATACTAGGGGATTTGTATAAATATAGTCTTTCAAAATTACTCTTTTGTGAACATTATCCACCATGACCAACAACTAACCAAATGAATGGTRTTAAACACCAGAATTTTTATGTTCATTTTTGAGCTGAATGATACTGCGCATAGAAAAATATCAATTTAATTCTGGGAGAAAACAATATCCTCTTTAAGATATGGAAAACACACTGAAGAATCAGATGCAAGAAAGTGCATCATTAATAAATTTATTTCCCCTATCTACATTCAGGTTGGAACACAGAAYTGTAAACTTCTTACATGGAAGGCTCTCTTCCATGATTAAGTCCAAAAGCAAACCCAAATCCAACCCCGAAAGGCTACCATGAACACTGTTCAAGTTGTTTTTAAGCATTACGAATGAACAGTTGAGATTCTGGATTAATACACATTCCTGAGCTGCTTTTCCCTCCACTGAGTGAGTTACACACAGCACATTCAGAGCTGTGAGCACTGGGAACCAAAATGTRCAAAACACAACAGGTAGAGAGAGCTTCTTCCACAGGGCAAGCTAACCAGATACGAGCTGTATATATTCACAAACTGACTGCCAGCATAAACCAGCAAAATTACTATTTGTTTAGTCTAATATATGTGTGGAGCACCATGCAATATGTGGCAGAGACTACACTGTGATATTCCCCCTCAGTGCTCCTGAGACAAAGGCAAGACCAGGACATGAAAGAGCACTAAATGGTATATTAAACAYGCTGGTAATTTGGTAATTACAGCTAGAATTGTTCAGGGAATAAATAGTGGTGGTTTGTGAAGGAATCAATAGTGATGGTTTGTGAAGGAATCAACTGGCATCTCTTATTAATATAGAACATGCTTTGTGAACAGAGAACTACATTTGCCCAGTTGTAAATTTGGGAAGGAAGTAGATCTAGGAAARAGATGAAAAGTGTGGGGGAAACAGGCAGGAAGAGGACTAGCTGGTGAGGATAGGATGTGGTAGTAGCATGAAAGAAATAGCATGCTGTTCTTTGGAATTTTCACTCTAATCTCAGAGTGACTTCAAGCCCTGCACTAAGAAATAYGAGTGATAGGAAGTGAAGTAAGAAACAAAACAAGCAGAAATCAGGGGCAATACATAAACTGGAGCAGGCTTGGCAAAGTTCTAGCACTACTGATGGAAATACAAGAATACGTTCTAGCAGTGCAGAGAAAGTAAATCCAAAAGTGTGCTCGGGGATGAATTTTAGAGAAAAGAAAGGGTACCTTCAGGTTGGCACGGCTTCTCTAGCAGAACTAATTTAAAATTAGTAGTAGTTTAGTTAAAATTTAGAAGCAGTTTTAACCTACTTCTTTTCCCATCCCAAATTTCTAACCAGTTTGCATAATAACACCAAAGAGGGAAATAAATCTTTGTAGGGCCCTGTTGCAATGAAGTGATCAACCTAATTAAGAATATAGACTCCAAGCCTCTAAAACTGAAGCAAAAAGTAGGTGGAACTGGAGCAAAACATTGAATGATACTTTGGAAGGGAAGGTGGTGTTGTTATTGATAAAGACAGAAGACTGTGAAATGCTTCAAAAATAATGAGAATGCACAACAACTGTGTGGAATTTGTAGAAGTAGAAAAATAGCAGGCCCAAGAGCTTGTCTACACAGACAGAAAGAATTTTAATCTAAATGACCATAACTGTGCCAAATCCTTGAATTAGAACAAAATTAAAACGACTTGAATTTGAATCAATTCAGTCCCTGATGAAGGTGAAATAATGTGGTATCACTTAAGATTTCTAGGCTAGGATTAAGATTTCCAGGTCACAGGTTTGAAAAGTGCATTGAAATTGATGATTGTTTCTAAAGCTGCAACAAASTATCAGTTTAAAGTTCTTCTTGCTTAATAAAAAAGTCTGTGAACATTTTTACTTGGTCTGTGGGAATTTCTTGRGGAAAGCCAAACCAGGGAACTGAAATGGCAATCGGAAGGTGATTCAATGAAGGTACTTGATCCTTGTAAGTCTCTTGCAACTCAGAATATTTGAGGATTCTAYGATACTTCAAATCCACACCTTTTGTTGACTTCCTCCTTGTGTTCATGAACAGAYACATGTGGAAGTTGAAATGAAGTTTAACAAAAGCATGTTTAGAATGATGACAGAAGAAATAAAGAAATAATTTTCAGAAGTAATCCCAAAAGCACAAGAACACCAAATATTCACAGGAGACTGACAGAAATGGGCAACAGAGTCTCTGAGAGCTAAAGGTATGTGTTTACTCCAATACTGATGAAATCCTGTTTTCCTCCCTTTTWCCTACAAAGTCTGTGCTCTGATGATTTGAATGGCTCTCAATGTCTCCCAATATTTTTCGTATCTTTTGTTTGTTACAGTTTTTATTTTAATTTCCATAACATTATGCCTAACTTTAGCCAATCAAAACTGTAAGAAAAACTATCATGTGTTATTTTCTACATTTGAATTTTAAATACTTGAGCAGGGAAGAGGAAAGGAAATTATTAAGTGATGGTTCTGGTCTGCAGTCTCACTATTCTCCAGGTATCATTATTAGAGTTTAGACACTAGAAACAGATTTCACACTACCCCGCAATATGAAGACAAACTMCGTTATTGTTTAAATCTCAGGCTAACAGCTGAAGCCACCAGCAGAACACCTGGCAGTAAAAACTGATCATAAATGTAGAAATCTTAGTTTAGTTTAATGTTATCCAGTGCCTTCAAAAAAGTGCAAGGTGATGGGCCATTCCCTTTCAACCAAGGGGAGCCCACGAGCTAACATTATGTACCTAGTTAAAGAAGTTCTCCCATTGCCAGTTTCTCATGTTAAAAAAAAAAAAAAAAAAAAAAAAACCAAAACGGTTGCAAATGCTATGTTGTAATGCTGAATTAAATAGTTACTTACCATAATACTATATAAACAGATCTTAGAACTATGATGGAAACTAGCGTTCCATACATGACCTGAAAAGAAAAAGAAAAATCAGCAGTTGTATTCAAGAGACCTTATAGAATACCACAGGAATAAAAAAATTGAAGCCTCTGGTGCTTTTTAATTTTTGAGTCTTGGGAAAATAGCATTCCTTCTAACTTCATCTCCAGAAAGCCTTCTGTTAAAGTTTAAAGGTAAAATTACGATAATAAACCATGTCCTTTACGCAAGTACAAGGAAAAGTCCGTTGAACCAAACCCAGGTTTCAGTGCCCTGAATCAGCAAGCAAACACTAGATGGCACTCGAAAATCATCCTGAGCTCAAATACAGTAACCAACCCCTATTACCTCTTCTCTGTCTGTGCATTTTAGCCCCCGATTCTGTAAGCATCAGCTAAAACTGTTTTTAAAAGCTGTACTTCTTCCAYTGATATTTGACCAATATTTTATCCTGAAAGCAAACACCTGAATACAGTAGGCACTGTGCCCACATCGAGTACCAGAACAGGAAAATTTTTCCAGGAAGCTTTCAAACAACTATTACAGGTTGTTTCAATTTAATTATATAGCAGGAAGGCTGCACACTGAAGAAAATCATGAGTAAAATCTGACTCACTRTAGGCTTGATGAATTTGAGTGCAATCACCTGACTTACATATAAAGTCAAARCAATCATTTATTTTTTGCCTCGTGATCTTTTAATCACCCTCCTTTTTTATTCACAAACTTAAAATACATGTAACACCACCTCCAAGATGTACAGACAAAAGAAGAGTAAAAATTGTGGTCAGTCATGCCTGAGAAGTGATGCAGAAGTCACTGCAGCAGGGAGGATTTTTAGACACTGGTGACATTCAATTACTTTCTATACTTTTTATTCTGAACACTGGTTTCCTCCTGCCAAAAGGCAGTTTGTTCCAAGCAGCTGTGCCTTGCTCTTTGACTCTCTCCAATGGCCCACAAGCCTCTCAGTATTTTTCTTCTTCCTTGTTCACTGACGTATCTTTCTCATCTTGCTCCTATTTAGCTACTATCTAATTCTGCCTTTGTTTTACATGAGACAGAAAAWTTACAAACCTTTGCTGTCTATTTTTAAAAGCCACTAAACCTCACAGAAGTGTGTTTATAAGYCAATGTCCTTACCATGTTCTACTGACCTCCTCATACCACTCCTTTTTTTTTTKACTGTCTTTTGAGACAAGGACTGCCTCACTCTGCCATAACTGGGGCACTCAGATCCTACTATCCTGTAAGTATGTCTAGTCATCTGACATAAGTTACTGTTATAATGCAAAGTGAAACCTGCCTTCCAAAAGTCSATAAAGGCAAATTTGCAAGCTCCTTTTAGCTTTAAGAATGAGGTTAGTAGCACACACCTTATTATCAATGCACATATACAGAACAAGACAGACAACAGAGCCCTTATGTTTGACAACAGGTAAAAGTAAGCTCCAACACTGACTATTCAAAGTCAGTCAGCACAGCAGCTCTTTATTTGCATTCAGAACAAGATTAAAGAACTTCAGTAAATGAACTACTACTACTGTGTGTTCTGCTCTGTAGAGCTAAACAAAGCAAAACTATTTGAAAGGCTAATTGGTTCTGGCTTGTAATTTATACAAAACTGTTAGTTAATTCCAGTTCCCTCACTGGGGTGCAGCACATAAACCAAGAAAAAAMCAAAACCAACAAAAYCTGAGACACAGCCTGAGTATCAAGWGCTTATCAGTTCCAAGCTAAAGGYAGAAGAGTACTCAGGTGTGTGAGGTACTGCATGCTGGTACAATTCTTCATTGTTGACATTTTGCTTAAAAAGACCGCACCACATAACAAAGCATTACCAGCCTCATTTTTTCTAATCAAATACAGCATTTTATTCTAAGAGAGGGATGATAYAGAGGAAGATACTCATAGAAAGGCTCCACTAGAATCCAAATTAATTTGATTTGCTGATCTCTCTTTCTTTGCTGAGCTCCTCCTTCTTAAAATTTCCAGTGCTAAAATACTCCTTTGCAGCAGAGATACGAGAAAAACTTACCCATTAAGAGCAATTTCTGTCATACACATTAGGGGTTGTGGSAACCTTTATGCTTGTACCCCAACTGCTTTTGGAATCTTTGTACAGGGAGTTAAATAGTGTCAGACTAAGCCTAGAGAAAGACCTCTTACAGGCAGCCCAAAGTGCAGGTAAAATGCTACTTTTTTCAGTAGTTGCTAAAAGCAGGAARGAGCAGAGCAAAAGCTAAGAAAARCTTTCTTTGGCTTGGTATCTCCTARTGAGTTAATGGCTTGCAGAAGAGGACAGTCTTAATGGAGGGAGTAAGGAAAAAAAAAATAACCTTGCAGTGACTGAAGAAAAATATGCCCACTGTTGACATTTCAATTTCTTGCCTTTTCCGCTCCCCCACCCAAACAAGTTGTTAGCAGGAAAACACATYTGTGTTTAAAAGCCTGTGAAAGACTGGAACAACAAACTGTTCTGCTCTGCATGCTCCAATCCTCCACACTGAAGGTGAGCACCCAGGAGGTGTTGCTGTGATATGCAGTGACTGTAGCTGCATATCTCCCTCAGCTGTTTCTTACTGGAGGGCTACACCAACCTGCACAACTTAATTCAGATGTCAGGGAGCAGTGCTTCATCTCACTAACCCCCCATGACTTTACTATTTTCATCATGATAAAACTTTGTTAGGTATTACCCATCCACCCAAAGAAGGATAAAGTATAATATTATATAAAAAAAAGAAAAATCTATCTTATTCAAGTTAAGTCAAATTTCTCCATTCCTTTAGCTCCTTTYGTCCTTCTTTTCTTTAATTAACACATCACTTCAGTGACAGATGAAAATGCAGGCAAGTTTTCTGCTATTTTGTCTCACACTGCCTTTAAATTACAAGCTGAAGAACATCCTTGCACTACAATTGAAACAAAAGGAAAACAGCAGAATCTCAATCTTTTGTAATCACTAGACAGTTCCTTCTATGCTGTTTCAGATGCAAATAAAGCTGTGCATATTTCAGCTTGAAGATATCTTTGCAATTGAGGGAAAACCCGAATTCTGATGAATACACAGTGGATTGCCTGATAAGAAGGCCAAATACAAAAAACGTCCTCCTAATTCACAAATGGAAGTATGCACCTCAGGGCTCAATGTCTGGCAGCATTTCTGAAGTGGAGACAATTACGCAAATCATACACAGATTCACCTATGCAAGTCAGAAGCAAGGCTGGTACTTCCCACTGAGAGGGGGAGCATACAAAACAGGTTCTTCACCTACCCTTCTAGTATAGAAAGCAGCAATAGCCTGCTATTTCCACTTCTGGTTTCTTTGGTCCTGGCTTTCTACCCATCCTTGGTTAATAAAGTCATTTTATCTGCCTCAAATATTAGTATACACATTGGGAACTGCACTGAGAGATTTTGGGCTCTTGGCAACCATTGTTTATCTACTAATACCCCAATCAACTATAAGAAGAGAGTTACCTTACATACTTGAATGTGGAAACTGTATTTGCGATTTGGAAGAAAGAAAACAGAGTTCTACATGTTTTTGGAGAAGAAATTTGAGCAGAGAGAAAAAGCAAGGACAAACCCCAAGATTACCCTGAAACACCACGTAACTCAGCACAGTTACAGCTGCGTAGAATCAGCTGCTGCCTTGATAGCTCCTGAATGAACTCATTCAGATTTGTTTGGTTTGGTGCTGTCTAGATGCATGCACACAATGGCAAAGTGACACACGAGTCACTGCTGCTACAGAGCTTCTGGGRCACTGTCTGCCACAGCAAACCAAGCTGCCCCTTCAATGTGGAGCTGAATCTTTGGAGAGTCTGAATATCCTTCCTCACTCCCTAAGCTACTGTGCAGGTAGAAGCACCASTCAGAATGAAAACTGCACTCACTTGCAAAGACATCCCCAAATGAGCAGAACAGAGTGAAATGTCACTCAAGTTAGTTTTATATGTGCTCATCAGTAGACCAATGACAGAACAGAAAAAGATCTGTGGTGAAGACACATCTGAAAAGGTAATTTTTAACAGACTACTAGGCAATCTAAACATATAGAAAGTAGGAACACATTCCACTAAAACGCACAATATATTCAGCCCCAAGCCTACAACTAGCTGTTGCCTTAGCAGCAGGAGGGACTCTGGAGAGCTGTAACACATTGAGTGGGTCCACACATTCCCCAAAATGGTGAATCCTACAAGTCTGAACAGGTTGTGCCCTGATATAACATAATCTTCATACAGCTTCAGGCTCCCTTATGTACTTCTATATACAAGTCATGATGATTTCACTTTCTTGTTTGCACTCATATATTGAAAATGCCTATAAAGAAAAAATCTATTTTTTTTATTAAGACAAATGAAATACCTTTTTCTGCCATGCTTACTTTCTCCCTCTTGCTCAAAGTCAGCTCAATAGGTAAATCAAATACTTGTATTTTACTTCTATCAAAAGGAAAAAGAAAATCCCTGGTTGYGTGCTTGTGCTGTGATCAGCGAACATATCCAGGCACTCCCTCCCTCCCTTTCTTTGGTAATCTGTGAGCGCTGTGGAACAACAATAATTTGTATTTGCCCATCAATGCATCTCTTCCATTTCAAATCAGTCGTCATCCTAGTCCTCAAGGTCCTCCATGTATCTTTTAATTTCCTCCCCCGCATTCAATGCTGCCTCTGAACTTTGTATCATCACAAATACCATCAGTACACTCTTCTTTTTCCTTCTACAGGTTGTTTAAAAGAAAACCAACCAAACAAAACAGTCCCACTGCTGATTCCAAGAAAATTCAGACTTTTCATCATCTCATTCAGTATTTTTTCACTAATCACTCCCTTACCCTGTTTGCAATTCTCCTACTGATCTGCTTCTCCTGCTTGCTTAGTTTCTCACTGGACACACCAACAACATTCTAGAACACCTATTTTTTACATCACATTTTCTAATGCAGAAGAAACAGCTATTTAACCTAATTTTCCATTGACCTTTTAATTATTTGTTCCCTAAAATTTTCTTCAAACTCTCACAGCAAATGATGATGCAAATAAAACAGGTTTTTAGATCTATTCCACTATTCACATAACTTGGCCCTCTAGCTGAATGAGGTTTTGGATCACTACAAGTGCATAGTCAGAAATGGTATGCAGCAGACAAATMAGGGTGGAACACATTGCTTTGTACGTGACAGCTTCCTAGGCCTCATCATATTAAGAAGGTGGCTATTTGTAAGACTTGAGTTGAAAGGTTTAACTTCCAGAGTAACAACTTCTACTTCCAGGGCTGTCTCTGTTTGTCTATGGATCCCTCCATGCTAGCAGCCAGTCTTCCCCTGTCCCCTTCCTTGTCTAAACACAAATATACACATGGTAAACAAGGATGAACAACTAATCTGATTTAAAATTAATTCTGAGAAGAGTTTTAACCTGTTGAGTTACCCAATCAAATTCACATCAGAAAATAAATTTGTGTGCCAGATGGAAAACACAGGCACAGCTGTTTTCTGTGACAATGATGCTGGCTCAAAAACAACCAGGCAGCTGTGATGTAGGGTCATTTAGCACCTTGAAAATTAGGAATAATAGTGCTCTAGCCTGAGAGATTTGAACATAAACAAGATAATATACACCTGTAAAGGCCACTAATATATTTCATTTAATTAATGAGATGACAAAAAATACTACATCAGTTGTCAAGMAGGAATTGGTTTTCCCTCTAATGATGTGCTGCCTTCAACTGCCCAAAACCTGTGTCTCTCCTACAATTAAAGCACTAAGACCTTTAAAGATCTTCCTTTAATATGTGGATGCAGAAAAAGAAGCTGGTCTCTGTTGCCACTGTGCCATGGAGAACAAACTAAAATCACCTTCGTGCCCTGCTGGCAGCTGGCAACTTATAAGCCTAAATTGGAAAGACAAGTAAAAACTAATTGGGGGAAAAATGAGGCTTAGATCCTGGATGCCAGACATAATCRGATCCCCTTTTCATTCTTACTGCTCTCCTTCCAGAGGGAAAAAAAATCCCAACAACTCATACTGAAACAATGAACAATAAAAAGTTATCCTTGTAGTTATTCCTCTTTTTGCAAAGCTGACAACTTATAATGATCACAGACACCTAGAGGAATCAAATGTKGCTTTATCAGCTGATGCTGCTTTCTAACCCAGTTAAAAAGATTGTGATTTAAACCAAGATTGCATGAACATATTTAATTTTACTTCAAGTCCAAGTGACCCATTCAGTTTGAAAATGCTTACAGTAATGATTTAACTTCTTTTTGAATGCACTCTAAAATAATGTACAAGTATTAAGAAAATAACCTTGCTTAGCTGTGCAGGCAGGGAAATATTTCCTCAGGATTTACAACATATTTGGCAAAGACTGTGAAAAAATGAGTACAGTACTTCAACATTTGGAATTTGGCCATAACTGTATGTTCTCCATAATAATCAATTTGCAAAGAATTGTTGTAAGAAGCCCAGCACTTTTATGGATCCAAATATTTTCTACACTGATTCCTCATGTATAAGTTATAACAGGGAATTCATATTCTGCGCCTAAGAGAAACCAGAAAAAATTAAAGGTCTGGGGTAACTGTTTAAAGCTTCCCTATTTCTCTCTTTACCTTAAAGTCATAATATCTATTGTCTTAGTTTTTATGACATGGGGCAATTCCTATGCCAATGCATCAAAATGGACTATAGTGAAGCTGCGGTCTCCTTATTTCAATAAATGCAGGTTCGGTAAATAATTGATTAAAGAGAAAAAAGTTCATTGCAAATAGTAAATTTTGCCATTGTTGTTAACAAAACTGCTCTAAGTMACTTAATTCAAAACTAGTTATGATGAGCTCACTAAAACAACCAGAAATTGCCACTTTCATGCCAGCCAGTGTCTTTCTAAGGGAAATGCAAGTAGGGGAAAAAAAAAGGATTTAATTAATATTACCAAGAAAAACTACCCTGCAATTTTCTCTTCTATCTACAGTTAGAGTAATAATTCATGTTCCTAGGGGAGATTATCTGGAGCAGCTGAAAATTTATTCTCTTGATCAGCGCTTCACTAATCCAGCAACAGGAGCCACGTATCATTTTTCAACTGCTGATGCAGCAGGCACATTTTGACAAGCAATGGCACTACCAATTTCAGAAATTAAGGCTTTAAAGCTCTGTCCTGCAAAGAGCTCAGTGCTTTTTGCTTGGCAAGTTTTCAGCTGGTAATCYTAATCAAAAAACCATAAATGAGGGAAAACTACCCATGGCATACAGAAAAGAGCATAATTTCCAACCTCCTGCGAAGAGCTAAGTGATACAAGTCCTATGCCCATAGGCAGGGGATGCATATTAATACTCTTGGGCTGCTACAAAAGGAGCCTGTACCAAATATGCCATTAAGCTTGTGCAAAGCAGTCTGCTACATAACCCTAGAAAGCATTCTGTGCCTTGAATTTCCACAAAGCAAAACTGAGTAGTTAAAAAACCCCAATAAACTAATGTGTTAAAGCAGAGAGAAGAATGTGGTGCTAAGTCAATCAAGTCATCGTACGATCTAAGGTCATAGTTTCAAAGCAGCTGCTAATGGAAAGAAGCAGAAAAAGACTGATTTAGCTGCTGCCTTCTCACACATCTTAGGGTCACCTCATTGCACTTGCCACTGACGAAACCACGGGAAATAYTAGGTCAAAAGCTAAAACAGAGCACATATTGAACCATTCTAGTTTTTCAGGTTACTAAGTAAGAGGATGGTGACATGACAGGTAGCAATACTGCTCAAGAAAAAGCAAAAGGCAAATTGTGCTTCCCTTCCATCTTTCTTCTAGCAGTAAACTACTGTAACACATTCCACTACAACAGCATAGTGAAAACCAAAATCAGCTGTTCCAACAGAGCAAGATTTACCTGATGGAATACAGGCTCTTTCAACTTTAGGTAAACCTGGAAAGATTAAAAAAGRAAAGTAATTTACAACACAGAACCATCATAACATTATTCATCTCAATATTGCCAAGGCTGGCTCTGCTAGAATCAAGCCATGAGTACCCATCCATGCACCATTAAAGTTGATTAAACATTTGAAGTTTCCTCTGGCAAAACCTGAGGTTTTAACCATGGGATTATTTTAAATTAAGAARCACAAATAGAAACGTTAACATCTAACGTAAGGCTTCTAATTTAATATTGTTGAACACATACAGAAACAATTAAGATGCTGAAGTTACCAGATGTTCTCGATATGCATTGCAAGAAGAAAACATACTGAACTTTGATTTGATCTTATGAATGTTTTTGACAATAATTTAACATTTCAATTAATTTTACAAAAAGCTAGTGGTTCTTTCTATTCTTAATGCAGTTCATTTACTTTATGCTCTTGAAGAGGGATGGGCACTCAACCTTAGGCATAACATACCACAAGTATAAAAAATTTAGGAGAAACAGAAGAGAACAGGCAAGTATTTTGACAGCTGAAGATGACTTACAATAATATTTTGATTTTTTAAGAAATTATTATCAATAAAAATTATGTAGGAAATTCCATCTGTGGTTGACAGCCAGCACAAAACTAAACGTATTCACAAAGGTAGAACACTGCACTGACAAAGGAAGTCAAGTCAGCTGTGACAGAAAAAAATAGAAGCATTTTAACAGCTTAACAGCTAAGTTCTTTTCCTATTCTGCCTCTTTAAAAACATGAGTCTGTATCTTGGACTGGGCATCACAGTTCACGTTTTTGTAGTCTGTCAAACAGGATKACTCATGACTCTTACTTCTACAGATGAATTAAAGTGAGAGAAGGTGACTAATGCAGCTTATTCAAGGTCTCATAACAAGTCAATGGCGACTGTTTTTCTCACATTCCTATTCTAGCAACTGGATTATTGCTTTTCTTCTTCATTTGTTTTGTAGAGTGGTTTAGATAGAAAGGTTTCAGGTTTCTCTTGCCAGCAACGTAATTTTCCCAACAAAAGAATAATTTGTCTCTCTTGACTGGAAGTGACAGAGATTTAGTATTGCCTCTATAACATTCCTTCACTAGCAGAAAAACTGCCAACCTAAGGGTGAAAATGCCATATTAGAAAAAGTTACTTACTATGCTGACTACGACGCTGTATGTTATTAAAAAGAAAAGCATTCGATAATTGACTGTATTCTTGTACTTGAAACATTCGTATCTGGAAGACAGCAAAAGGGAGAGAAATAGTGTTCATCAACATATAAAGGATGCAATTTCCAAGGTGTATTATKACAGAATTTGTGAGAAAACTGATCCATATGAATTTTAGGCTGCTCAAGAAATTCTAACTCCTCCAATAAAGATGCATTATTTTAACAGAAAAATTCATACTTTTACTGATTAAGGTTTTAAAAAAAAAATCTAATGCAAAAAAATCCCTTACATTAATAAGCTCAAGCATATGCCATGAAGTAAACCACTCTAAAAAAAAGTTTGTGAAGCAGAAGTGTTTTCAGAAGGTGCTTACAGGATGCTAATGGATGGCAAATTATAAATCAGTTTAAAATGCAGCTGTCAAAAAACATTACTGAGCAAACAACAATATAGAAAAACGACTGCCATAAAAAACACAGATCTGTTAAAATATAGATTATTTATGGCTTCACTATAGTTGCAGTGCAGTAAACTTGATAGACTGGATACTGGGAGAAGTGAAAGGTAAAACCAACTGACTGCTCCCAGTATGTAAAACAACCAATTAAAATTACAATTCACAATCTCTACACGACACATCAGTCTCAGTTGTGATGAAAATACACACATCCCAGACTGCATCTCCATTAGAACAAAGGTCTAAAAAACTCCAACAAAAATGAACTTTGAGAAGCCCATTATCATCAGGGATGGAGGGAGTTGTCTATATAATTCCAAGTTTCATCTGCCTAGTTCATTTGTTTGAGAAAACTTTGAGAAATCGGCACCATCATGAATGGATAAAAGGAAATAAAAACAACATTTGGGAAACAAAAAATCTAAGGGCAGCACAACGTGCTACATTGCAAAACAGCTTGCTGAAGTAATTACACAGCTTGAAAATCAGCAGGACTGAATGATGTATAAGGGAATGTCCTGTGCACAACCACCTGCAACCTACCTTCAAAAAAACCAAAACAATTATGAAAGGTCTCCTAAACTACACATTAGTTCAATCTTTTGAACATTTAATTGCTACCAAGCATACATACACAGAATCTTGTTAGAGCTATAAATGCAGAAACAGACTTCAGCTTTTGAAGATAATATAGTAACCACTGCACAAAAGAAAAGTTTCAGATATATTTTTATAGCCACTTCTCATCCTTTTTTTTCAATCACATTCAAATCAGACAAAACAAATGCAAAGGCAATTTCAAGCAGATAGGGAGCTACAATGGAAGTATTTCTGYTAAAAGAGACATTATGATTCTGGTCCTGACTTTGCACAAATCACACTAATGTATGAGTCACAGACTGAGGGCAATTTCCACAGTTAAGGGTTTAGTCCTAAAGGATCCCATCTCCATTGCAAGCTAGCAGTAATCTTCGCTAAGACATCACAATTTTTAACAGCTGAATATTTGATATGTTCAAAAGCAAATTTTTTTTCTTTTTTTTTTTTTTTTGTCTGCAACAAGTTGATTTATCATTTGGATTTGCCAAGTACAGAAGAAATCATGTTAAATCCAGACCTTGCAGCAACAGGCAAGAAAAAGCTAACTTAGGGTATCTTTCCAGTTGTCAAATGCTACATTGCTCCCAAAATTAAATGTGAGAAAACATCCTGGCATCTCATTACATGTCATACATGTTAAGACACTCTCCCCAAAATATGCATTCAACTCCTCATAAAATCTTTTCCCTTTAATTTTCTAGATGAGTGAAAAGCAGGTTTAGCCAGAAACCTGAATTTTGCATGTGGAGCCAGACTACGTCATAGAAATCCAGCTCTAATACATAATAATGTTGCTAATTTTGTAGGCATTACTGAAGCTGATTTTGTTATGTCTGCTGTTTTTATAGAAACAGCATTGAGCTCTGATTGTATACAACACTAAGTCTTCAATGAGTGGGATTTTTTCTCTACAAAAAAACATGGTAAAATATATCTAAATTAGCAAAAAACAGGGCTAAAGCCAGCCTGGTACTCTATAATGCTGTATAAAAACAGATCTCACTGAAAGCAGTAGAAACTTTCTACATACACCAAATTTGGCTCCAGAGACTCCACATTTCAAAAGTTAACATTTCATAAATATTCAAAGAAAAAAATTAACAAATACTTACAGGCAGTAGACAAACACACAACAACTGTATATCATTGGCAGTTCATCCAACAGCTACAAAAAGCAAAGACATCAAAACATGAAAGCTACTTTTAACTCACAAGCTTGTCTAAGTTAATTAAGAAGAGGTAAGTCTTCAGTAAACAGGAGTTTTAAAGTCATTTGGATATCCATTTCTTGACTGTTCTTTAACACTGTCATATCCTGTTCAACTACCAAAAGCTGCTACATTAAAAAGCTCATTACTATGAATCTTTTGAATATTACATTTCACAGAAGCCCATGCCTTCAAAGAATCTTAACATTTTTGCTGCTCCTAAAATATTTGTAATAATTAGTTCTATAAAGCCAGGGTGAAGAAGACCATCCCATCTATAGCCATACAGTCAGTYGCATCTCCTTATTTGACAGAGAAACTGAAATGTAATTCTTCCATAGCATAAAATGCAATTTTAGCCTATTAGAACGGGCAACATGCCTGCACGTTTACTTCCTAATTTTAGAGATTTCGTATATTGTTTTAATTCAGAAACAGGAATTTTTGTTTGTTTGAGGTGGGGTTCTTGTGGGCTGTTTTGTTATGGTTTTTTTTCCCAAAAAATTAAGCTGAAAATTAAGGCTGCATATAATTTTTATTGTYTCAAGTAATTTTTATACTTTGAGAGAAGACTGGTGTGTTACAGCTAGAACAGTTATTTCTCCAGGAACTTGCCACCTTAATAGAATGAAATTAAAACTGTAATCATAAGAGAGATGATTTCTCAATAGCAGGTACACTCAAAATTGCCTTTTATCATTAGAAAGAAAAATAATTGTAACACCATTTTCTTGTAAAACTTCTCATCAAAAAACTTCCATGGTTTTCTGCTTATAAATATACAGTTAAACTTACCACATCTTATGAAGGACTGAAAATCATGGAAATGAAAAAGCATACAAATGGATCAATGAAGATCCACAGCCTCTGATTTCTAATGTTAAGCAAACATTAACAGTTAGGCCTTTAAGAACTTTTAGAGCTTGACTTCTAAGAAAAACAAGAGCTAGATGGAAAAAAAAAAATTGACCTTTTTCCTTCATCACTCAAAGATCTGGATGGCCTTGCCTGTATAGAAATTGCTTTCCTACTACTGCTACAAGGTTCTTAACAAGTTCATAACCACGTTACTCTGAACAAAGGGACTTGCTAAGAGCAGCAAGTAGCCTACTCAAACGCTTTTATAAAGCCATTCTGCTTAGTTTGGGGTAATTTTTCTAACTGCACAGTCAAAAACTTTATTTTAGCTTTGAAAATTTCATATTAAAAAAAAAAAGAAAAAAGGATCTAATTCTTTACAGAAGGAGAGAGATGTATCATCCTTAGTGTGGAGTATTAGCTTTTTGTGATTTTGGTCATAGAAAGTTCAGGAAATGTTTCACATTAGTACTAAACAGCTCTGCTGATCAGCTGCCACTGACAGGACATGTGCTGCTTCTTCCCTCACACTGCCACTGCTTCTCTCCAGTGAGGTGGATCAGAATGGTCTGACCAAGGTCCAGGTGCTGAGCCAGCACACAACCAACCACGCAGAGCAAGGTTTAAATCCCAGTACCTGTGCATTGCAGGCTCAGGGACCACAACGGGCAGCACAAAGACAGTATCAGGAACAGTGGGAACAGCTGAAGCTAACAGGCATGCTATGTGGCACCTTGTCATCATATTAGTTTATCTTTATTGTGATGTCTTAGATGGAAAAATACAGAAGCAACAGCTGAATTCAGCTTTATAGTGACAGTATTTTATAAATTCAGTGATGTGCTTTTCCAAGTCTGATAGGAATTAGCTGCAGGATTAATTCACTCTGCTGTTGAAGAGTGTGAGTCATTTAATACCTCATAAAAGAAAAAGGCAGGGTAAGAACAAGAAATACAATACAGGAAAACTTTTCAAATTTAGACAGGTGATTACACTCTCGTTCATAAGCTGGCAGCATCTCTGGGACATAACAGTACCAACAAAGAGCCTCTCAAAAGATCTTAGCTAGAATTTGCATGCATAAGACAATGACTTCTGKATCCAAAGAAATTAATGTTTCTAGAAGTGCTGTCAAAGGCATATCGGGACAGTGAAGAACCATGGAGAGAAGGAAACTCAGTGAGCTGATTTCACTGGCTAAATAAGTATTTTGGATTCCTGAGGAATGGACAATCAACCACATTCCCATAAAAATAAGAGAAAAAGGGGTGATTGCTTCAGAAATATTCTAAACAACTGCTCTCAAGAACAGAAGCTTTCATATTTTTCTTAATTAAGCAAACTGAGTATTACGTATTAAGTACTAAGACGGCAAAACAAATGTAAAAAATATCTTTGAATAGCTATCAGTGCTGATTCTTAATCATAACAAGAGATAAAGTGAACAAGAAAAGTTTATTTACTGGTTGAATTGTTTCCTTCAGGGTGACCAGTGAGCTAGCAATTGAAATAATTATGGGCCACTTGTGGATTTCATTTGGCTGCCAAAATAAATGTACTTTCTCTGCCTCACACAAAGCCTTTTACATCAGTTGACAAGATGATGCAAGGCATTCCTGCTTCCCTCTCATCTGCTTCTGCCCCCACTTTACTTAGCACAGTTCACAGGCCCCTTAGCTGTTCTGATGCAACACCAGAACTRTAGGGCAAGTAGCACTAAAGTGATTTGGATTAAAAAGAAAGCTTCTACATGCACACACACACCCATGCCCACAAACAACACCCCCTTTTTCATGCCAAGAGAAGCACCAAATACTCTTACATGTTGACAACATATGCTCTGTGGAAGCTGACCGTCCCCACCACTTGCCAGAGATACAAACCAGAGAATTATAGAACCAAACAACAAAACAGTCAGCAATATGCAGGTCCTTCAATCAGCAAAAATGCAGGACTAAATTCAGCTGCCACAGCATAGTTGCCTAATGTCACTGGGATGTTCTGTCACCACCAATACTCGTATCCCAAGACTGGCAGATGTGATGGGAGCCTAAGAAACCTACACCTCTGTGGGATGGAAGCTGGAGGCCTAACATAACATTCACAGGGTCTAAAATAACAATAAACATCTCTGTTTAGACAAAGGAATCTTTCTTGAGCAGAGATTGCTAATGGAGTCTGGAGAATGATTCAGGCCAGCCAACCGCCTCTCTCCACTCCACTCCACTGACTTAGCTGTATTTCCATTGACTGTGGTGGGCACGCAGACTTCCTGCACAGACTTTTAAATGTAGGTTTCCTGAATTTGAACAGAATGCCACTTCACCCTGACTTTAATTCCAAGATGCATTTCCTTAATCTTTGCAGACYTAAAAGAGGGTGACAGGACAAAACTTCCTGTGTCCCTTTAGAAAACAGGAAATACCGGGACAATCCCTATGTCCTATGACTTGTTACACAATGCTGTTTACTGGAAAATAAGAGAAGATCACTCAGCTATTGTGACTCGGAAGATACTGATTTCAATATTAATGCCACAGGTACATCTAAATAAACAAAAACACAAAGATGAGGAAAGTTACAATAAATAGCAATAACTCTAGTTTATACTGCTTGCTATTATGTCAAAGCCATAGGAATTTTAAAATAACACCTTGTGTAAAAAGATAACATGATTTCCCAAAGGATTGAGTGTCCACTACCAGCATAAGCAATTGATTATAGCTCTTATTTTAGATGCAAGTATATGATTTGAAAATACCTATTGAAACAACACCTGCATTACTGCCTTGTTGACAGCAAGAGTCTTGTACAATGATACTTAAGGTAGATTAACTCATTTTATACAAGTTTCATCTAGCCAGGCAATGGCAATGACTGTACAGCAAGATAAACAAAGAAAATGATTCACAGCTACTTATCAGTACTCACCTGCATTTCATACTTGAGGGTCATGTGGAAGCACCAAGATCCCAATCCCACAGCTGAAAACAAACCAAAACTATAATCAGCATAATAGTATGTATGTAACATTTTCAAGTACATTAACTTAAATGTATGAAATGCATGCTTAATAGTGAAMAAGAAATTAGAACATCAGAATTTCACTGCAGTGACAAAGCCACAATTTTCCACAGCCTTCTATTTTATATATGAGTCACCAGTGACATCCCTGAATTTATGGGGTTTTGGGTGTGGTGTCCTCTTTACCTCCTCTCAGTACCATGTTCCACAAACTGGGTTTATTCTCARAGAGGAGAGGAGCAGAGGGAACCCAGAATGAATGGAATATTATACATCAACTTAGCTTTTTCCTTTTTTTTTAATTTCAAGTAAATTAAGATTTCTCTTTTCCAATCCTTCTGTAAGGCAAAGCATCATTCAATAACTAGTACTTGTGTAAGCCTCTCAATATTTCTGCTTACTGTCCAGTTCTAAAACATATGTTTTACCAAGCTTTTTGTTGTCTCTATAAAACAAGTTGCTAATAACACCAAAGTTCCCAGGTTGACCCCCACCGGGGCTGTTCATTTAAGAGCTAGACTCAATGATTCTTGTGGGTCCCCTCCAACTCAGACTATTCTGTGATTCAAAACCAGAAGTGAATTGCTGCTAGAGCTCAGAACTAGAAATTCAAGCTAAACAAACCAACCCCATATAACATGAATTTGTTTTGTGACATGAGATTACCATTTCTGGTCTTCTACACAGAAAGATGATTTTCTAAGAAATGATTTATATTTATTTGAAATACTTCCTTTACACATTTTGAAYTTACTTCTGAAATTACTATATGAGACATGCTTTACCTATACACAGTTTTTTCAGTCAGGCATGAATAATGGTTCTTGGAAGTTAGATTTCACTGTATAGAGCAAAGCTGGTACAGTTTTTAATGCACCATTTATTACCTTSAAATATTATCAGTAAAACACTCTCATTAAGCACCAGCTCAGTTTTATTTTGCAAGAACAAGTGCAGTAATGTGATACRTTGTCTTCCTTCAACAAATTATGTTTGAGCTCAGACTGTAGTTTCAGAGAAAGCCAGGTAATTTGCACTCAAGCCTTGAGCATGAAGTAGTGCTGCCATGTCTTGCAGCAAAAGCATTGCCTTGTCCACACACACCAGTCAAGTTTTACTGACTTTTGCATAAACAAAAACTCTATGCACTCTGTAAAGGATTCCCAAGACAATCAAGAGACATGTCTGGAGATGCTTAAGATGTTATWAGACTATAATTGCGATTATTACACTTACTCAATGAAATTAAATACCCAAGCATGCAACTTTACTGAAAGATGAAACTGCAACACTTCAAAGAAACATTTCAAAACATATTACCAAATGCTTCAATGTCATTAATTCTCTGGGAAAATAAACACAGCTCCCTATCAGAAAATAAAAACCCCATGCACTTCTGTAAACTCTGATTACACTGGTTYGCTCCTGAAAAACCTTTTCAAACAATAAGCAACAATTGTTTTCACCTTCATTGAGATCCCAACGAGAAATTCTCTCAGCCATTTTTCTATGTATACATATATGACAACAACTGTTCATTCTGGACAAAAAAAACCCCATTAAAACAGTGCCATCCATTATCCTGGCTGTCACAGAATACAAACTCCTATAATTTGTAAGAAATGTCATTTCCAAGTACGGGAAAAATCATTGCATAAGAAATTTCAGCAGATTTTAAATTAACAAAATATGCAATTGGGTTGAGGTTTTCTTGTTTGTTTTTGTTAATGTTATTTGGGTTAATAAATCTCAACAATCAGCAATGGAACTCCTTCCCTTCCTCCTACATGATTAAAGCAGTTATTTCTAGATTAATTTTTCCTCTCCAGTCTTTGGAAAAAAAAATCAAGAATGCTGCAGATATTAATGTTTCAGGTCATTAATTCCATGACTACAGTTAATTTCTAAAATGAATAAAACCCCTCTTGCTTCTGTGCAGTAATCGCATCTCGAGTTTCTCTGATTACAAAATTTTACTATGCATTGCAGAACAATGTTTTCTCTACAGTATGTATCTATATTAGAAAATAGATATCTGGAACAAGAAAAGCRTACAGGGACAGATCACATGGTTCAGGCTCCAGACGTTTCTAAGAAATATTTACTTCACAAAAACCATCTGCAATGAGACATTCTGTCAGCTTTGTACTTTTCAAATTTTGAGTGATCACGATCACTGCAATGACACAAAGTGTTCAAGAGAAGCAACTCTGACTTACAGCCACTGACACACTGAACAATAAATTTGCTCCTTATCTTGTRAGCAGGGGTTACAATTTTCATATTTTAGGGGTTTTCTTTTGCAAAGGAGCTTTTGCAAACTCGGTTAAAGCTGCCTATTAGTTGGGAAGTTTTAACACCATCTGAAGCAGTAAGTCCCATTTCCTATCTAACTACCGTAACTCACTTTCCATAAATACTAMAAGTAATTTGACATTTTTACATCAATGAACCTCCCAAGTTACAGGAGAAATATATAAATTATGTACTAAGTACAGAACACACAATATTATGAGATCAGACTGGCACTTAGGAAGACTAGAAATGCAAAGTCAGGGTTGCTACTGTATATASACTAACAGGGTCTTTTTCTGTCCTGCAGCAAACACCATGTGTGGTTACTGCCAGGGGATAAAACAGCAGTGTTATGATGATGGAAAAGCAATGCATCTGCAAACTTTACTTCATACACAGTTATTTTACTGTCAAAAAACTTAAGGGCAATACCTATAGCTAGAAATAATCTAATATCATACCAGAGATCCAGCTCTATATATGAACCATATAAACCTKCAGGATTTGAGTCCTAGAGAGACTTTTTTCAGTAGTTTTAGGAAGCACCACAAGCATCACATAATCAGTGATCATTCAGTTTGATGTAACAATCYATCAGCATTCAAAATTTTCATTACAAGCCTAAATCCTTTACAAAAAAGCATTTCATAGAAATGGTAACTGTACAGGCACTCTATGAAAATATCATGAAGGAAGGATGCTCCAGATGCAAAYACCTTTATTTAGGTATCTACAGACRAACTAGGTGTCAAAATTTCCACTAGGAGAATGTCATTATTAAGAGCAATTCAGCTAGCCAAACATGTATTTTAGAATAAGTCAATTTATTGTCTTGACTTTACTGACTGCACTGGCAGACAGAACCCACTGCCCAGGTAGACACATATGTTTAAG